TCACACCTGTGCATGCTATTTCTGACCGGGTACACGAGCCTGTCGTGTATCCGCCTGCATCTTCCATTTTGCAGGATTCCCCTCTCCCTCCTTCACCGCCACTCCCTCCAGCCTCATCACCGAACAAAAAGCTCAAGGAGGAGTGGCGGCCGAAGCAGCAGGTGCCTAGGCCAGCACGGAAGAAGGGTGGAGACCACTATGAGCTGGTCCCACCCACTGCACCACGACCACCCTGGCCATCCGAGTACTCACTCGCCTGCATCTTGCCGGATGGCCAGGTCGAGCTGACCTCTGCTGGTGGTTGCAACAGTCGGGTGTACGCTCACCACCTGAAGCTGTATCTCAAGAGCGATGTGGATCCGCTCTTGGAGGCACCTGTTCCTGCACCTCCCTGAGTATCCACCATGGGCGTCCAGCTAAAAGACGGTAAAGAAGCGCTTGTGGGGAGGCAACCCCGCCATGGTTTTCATTTATTTGTTTTGTTTCGAGTCGGATTGCGATTTGGTTTGGTTTCGGTTTATTTCCTTTGTTTTGGATGATGTCTTATTGGGCTGACATTGGACCTAACATATTATGGTTGAGCTCCTATGTTCCCCTTTAGCTGTGCTGTGTTCCCGACTGGTCCATTTCCAGTCTCCCGCAGTCCGTGCATACCGGTAACATCGTTCCCCTTTCCTTCCCTCTTCTCCATTGAGGGCAATGTCGATCTTAAGTGTGGGGGGGATGTTTATCTTTTGACTGCATTAGATCTGTTTGTGTGCTTGGAGCCTAGTCCACTGTCCAAATTTTTAAATTTGAGGGCTCCAAGTACGTGTTCCTTGCAATTGCCTGCTCAGTATGCTTTGAATTGACAGTCTCTGTAGTGATTTGCAACCTAGGGAGGTAGTGTAGCACTATGGAGGATGTTGATGCATTTAAGAAGTCTCATTTCTTCTTCATATTGTGTTGGTTGATTGAGTGAATTAGTGATCTTAGGACCCTTGAATTGTGTGGTGTTGTAGACTCTCTGCCTGTCATGGACTCTTGTATCATGTTTTGGAAATAACAGGTGCTCGAAAATGTGCTTTAAAATAATGTCTCCCGTGCGAATAGGGTGAAAGTGTGTAAGGGGAGACGGGAATCCGTTCCCAATTTCCACCTACTACCTCCAGCCCCCTTTCATGTCTTTCCCCCGCACGAGGCTCGAGACAACTGCTCCTGGCATGGCCGGTAAGAGCCGGGCTCCCGCAAAACCTTTGGTAGGTGGGAGCCCCCGTTTTCTGCAAAAACAGGTTGGACCCTTGGAAAAAAAACAGAAAAACAAGCAAAAAGAAGAAAGAAAAGGGGTTCCAACCAGTTTCAAAAAGAAAATCGAGCACCTGGAATTAATGTGAGTCCATGATCTTTGTTTTTGAGAGTCTCTGCATCCACGATTCATTTGTCCTCTGTTCACTATTTACCATGATGCCGACTCGGGACTAGTGTTCTCGCCGAAGAAGCTATGAGATGACTTGTGCGTCGGTTGACCTCGTAAGTTGCTAAATGATCTAGGAAGTCCTCTACCGACGATCGAGGTTGTTTGTTGCTACAGAGGTCTGGAGAGTTGCATTGGTTTGAGATAGGTTTGCTTGGGGACAAGCAAACGGTTAAGTGTGGGGGAGTTTGATAGATCGTTAGTTACACATGTTTTTACCCCTGCTCTTACTCCGTTTGAGGTATTGATTCTTGGGTTTTAGGCCGATTTCACGCTAGGTTGTGCTTGTTTATGATATTTCAGGTCCTAGTACGTGAATGGAGGCTTGGGAGCGAGTTTGAGGTCGATTGGACGAGGATCGGACGCATGGCGAGGTGCTGAGGAAGTCGCACGGGCACACCCACAACCCGCACGGCCGTGCAAGTGACCAGTTTGGCCGTGCGGGATTGTGCGAGAGCACGCACGGGCAGAGCAGAAAACCCGCACGGCCGTGCGAGTGACCAGTTTGGCCGTGCGGGATTGTGCGAGAGCAAGCACGGGCACAAGTGAAATCCGCACGGCCGTGCAAAGTGCAATCCTGGCCGTGCGAGATGGCTGAAGTTCGACTTAATGGTACGCCGCGTTTTGAGCCGCACGGGCAAGATGGTGAGCCGCACGGCCGTGCACCCTGGCCGTGCGAGTCGGGGAATTCTGGTTTTTAAGCAGACTTCAGCCAAAACAGAAGGGGATTCGAGTTTTGGAGAGACAGAACGATTCCTAGAGAGAGAGAGCGACGAACAAGAGTCTCCAAGTGCCCTAGCTTGATCTTCAACACCATTGGAGCTTGGCTTGAGCTTGGAGAGGTGCCGATTCAACTTCCAGGAGCAGAAATCCATCTTCACAGTATGATTTCCGCGTCTGATTCTGCTTTTGCTTCTTTCTCCATGGAGTAGTTCTCCCATTCATCTGGGTATGGGAAACCCTAGATCTGTATGTTAGGATTGATTGTATGAACCCAAGTACCGCTTCTATGATTTGATTATATTCGATTGAGGTTTGAATGATTGAATGACTTGAATCCTGATCAAATTCATGTTGTTTCTGCTTTAACCTAGAATGAGAATATCTGCCTAGGTTAATAGAGTATCCTTGATTGAAGGTGGCGAATTGGTGACTTTAGTCGAGGAGCCAATTCGCTATTCTGTACCGAATTTCATTCGGTAGTGGAGGTTTGGTTCGTTAGGGCCTCAATCTGTTTACTCCGGTGGAGGTTAGTCGCCCGCTAGAGACTCAGATTGAGAGGGTCTGAAGACCTTTAGTCGAGACTTCAGACTGTTTGAGAACCTTCACAGTATAACTATCATAGAAATCGAACTTGGTAATTACAATCCGACTTAACTGCAGACTAGGGGGAACCATATCCGGGTGACCTCTCTTAACTTTAAAACAACCGTTTAGTTGCTTTGCTTGCTTGTTAGTTTAGATCTTCACTAAAGTTTCATTGCTAGATAATACGAATTCACTGAGTAGTCATCACATCTAGGACCCGAGTTGACAATAAAACCCAAACCCGCTATACTACGCTTTAGGAAGTGGTTACACTTGGCCATTTTCTAGAGTGACAGTAGAGATGAGTCACCACGTCATCAAAAAACTGACGGTGTCAACGGAGACTGACGAAGGTAACGGAGAGTGACCAAATTTGGACTGTTTTACTAATCCTAGTAATGATGAACGAAATTAAATATTTCTAGTGACTAAACATGAACGCTTTTAACAATTCCAGTGACCAAACTTGCAATTTACCCCAAAAATACCAGTAAAACCATGCTGATGGTCCAGTGACGTTGGTGGTGGACCCACCCAGCCACCCTTTGTTCTAATTTTAAGTGTAACTCTCGACTTTTATTAGGTTTAATACTAGGGTGTGGTTTGGTGCAAATCATATTATATACGATGTGTGAGCGGATTGAGAGGTTAGAGCAGATATTATGAACAGATTATATAATATACAATTTATTATGTTTATATTGTGATACTCCAGAACTTAACACAACTTCTACCGATTTGGACAATTTAACTCGTAACTATATCATTTGTCATCATATTCTATACGACGTTATGTTTTGTCTACTGCTTTCAGAATTCTAGCGTGTTAAGTAAAGATTTTTACCAAATTTCGTAACATTTAGAGATCGTATTGAAGGGTGGAAAATGGTGTACCCAGATTAGATCACGACTTCCAAAATTAAAGATCACGGCTGTGAGTTTGATGGTCATGGTCGAGAACTCACAGAAACCCAAACGTGGACTTGAGAAACATTAGTTATGAAAATGTTCACGGCGGTTGCTTGTCTGACATTTTTATGTTTTTAACTGAAATAACAAAGCTACTCTGAAAGAATGTCAGTTGCCCCAAGGGTTCTTCAGTGAGCTACTTAGCTCACAATTCACAATATAGAGCATCTACCACGAAAATTAATCTTCCCATAAATAATCCCGCCATATTGGTAGGCTTTCCCCTGCCAACTACTTATGGATGGATTAACTAGGGCTGCAAATGAGCCAAGCTACTCGCGAGCAACTCGAGGCTCGAATCGGGAAAAACTCGTTCGAAACTCGATTCGTTTACTGACGAGCCAAGCTTGAGCCTAGCTATGTTCAGCTCGTGAAGCTCGCGAGCTAGCTCGACTCGGTGGCTTGTTGAGCTCAACTCGTGAGTTAGCTCATTTAGAGCTCATGAGATGTCTTAACATTGTGGTTTGAGGGCCAACTTGATCACTGACTTATGGACTAATCGATCTAATTTGGACTTTCATAATTCATAGGATTGTTAAATTATATATCTCACATCATGTGAAGTTTAACATGTTGAACATGTAAGAAAATATGCCTTATTTTTAACTCTATAAAGAAATTATGTAAAAAATTATTTCGATACTATGAAATAACATGATTTGAACTAGTTAAAATTTATTAACTAAACAATATGACACCTAAAAATTATAATATAAGATTAATTAATGTTGAACATTTGATTATTTTTTTATCACTACATCAATCACATGTACCATACACGACATACAAAATGAATGTATTAAATACGATCTAAGAATTTAGTAAACAAGCCTAACTCGAACTCGACTCGACACAGCTCGTTAATAAATGGCTCGGGCTCGAGCTCAGCTCATTTGTTAACGAGTCAAGCTCAAGCTGGGGTAAAACTCGGCTCAGCTCGGCTCATTTGCAGCCCTAGGATTAACTATTAAGGCCCACAAGTCCACCAAGAACCCCAATTGGGCAGGCCCACGGACTCAGCGACTTCCCGCGCAATCCGGTCCAGTAATATCCGGTCCCGTCTCCTATTTCCAACGATAAATTGACGTCATAAATTCAGCATTTAAAGAATTTCTAAACCCTAACAAAAACCGCGCCCCCAAAAAAGGAGGCGAATCGTATTCTGTACGTTCATTCGTTTCCTTCCCCTTCTTCCCCTACAAATTGCACAAAACCGCGCCGGCGATTCCTCACTATGGACAGCAAGCGACCACGGAAGGAATCATTGACGATGAGCGACGGCGGCGGGGGAAATGGCGGCGGCAGAATCACCACCGGGTACCCTCTCCCTCTCAAAATCGTCTCAGATATCCTCTCCAGGCTTCCAATCAAGTCCGTAGCCCGATTCGAAGCCGTCTCCAAACCCTTCGCCGCCCTAATCAAATCCCCCGACTTTGTCTCCGCCCACCTCCGCCGCCACTCCCCCACCGGCTCGTCGTTCCTGATCCGCCGCCTCGCGGACCCAACCGTCGGCGGTTTCCACTTCTCCCTGATCGACGGCCGGGCCGCCGCGATGGGCGATATTCCCATCCCGTTCATGGACAGCCTCAGTCGATTCCCCAAAATTGTGGGCTCCTGCTGCGGCCTCGTCTGTCTCGACATCTCCATGCGCCACGCCTCGGCGTTTCTTCTTTGGAACATCGCCACTAGGAAAGTGGGGAGCGTTCCTAGGTCAAGGATTTTCGTCGAGCGCCCGCCCTTTTGGATGGTGGCAGTTGGGTTCGGGTCGAATTGCGACAACAGCAACATCAAGCTGGTGAGAATCGTGTATTTCAAGCGGAGGATGGAGGAGTTGCCCCTTGTGAGGGCGGAGGTCTTTTCGTGGGGATTGGGTCGGTGGAGTTTGATTGATGCAGATGCGACCCAGGCGGCCCTGCAATCGTGCTCCATCACTGAGGGTCAGAAGGCTGTGGCTGCTAATGGGGCATTGCACTGGGTGGGCGTTGAAATTGAGAAACCTTCCATGAACAAGTACATTGTCTCACTTGATTTGGGTACTGAAGAGTTCAGCAGAGTTCCAACTCCTGATTATGGCAGTGAGTTTCCAACGTGTGTGCAAGTTATGGGGTTTAAGGGTATGATTGGATTGGCGGCTTACCCTGCCCAGTCTTTCAAACCATCACCCTACAAGTTCATCGATCTCTGGACGCTGGACGACGGTATTCGCTGGACTAAGATTACTAGTTTGAGGCCGGATTTTATAGGCATTGGGATTCCTGTGGGGATTCTGAATGATTCTGAGCTGATAATGAAGCGGGAAGAGGGGCAATATGTGCATATCAGCTCGTTTGATGGAAATGGCAGGGTTAAGTGGAACATTCCGGTCTTCTCTGTGCCCGAGTTTGCCTGTGAAGTTTATGGCTTTGTTGACAGCGTGTATCCAGTAGCTCCATTCGAGGAAGTTGATGCTGCAGAGGGTTGAGACAGATTAGCTTATGGACATGCTGTGCTATTGAATCTGAATTAGGTCTTTAGAGGTAGTAAAGTAGTATGATTTGAGGTTCCTCTCAGTCAGGTTTTAGGCTTCTTTAAGGTATGTCAACTATGTGCTCTCACTTGTGTAGTTTAGTCTATATGAACTGAACTAACAAACTAGAGCTGAAAAGAGTATATGAACTGAGCTATATGCTCTCTCTCTCTTTTGCTTCTGCTGTTGATGCTTCGCTGTAACATGCAAAAGCTCATAAAGTTTGGATCTTTTTGTGATTGTGCTTTTGTAGCTATGTGCCAATTGCGATGATACATAAATAAACTTGAGTGGTTGGGCGATGGAACTAGTCACAATGGCTTGGCCTAGTCTGGCCGCCACTTGACTTGACTTTTTGGTGTTTCATGGGTTCAAGTCCTTGACCAAGTTCATACATTGTCCTGTTCTGTTCTGTTTCTTTCTTAGGCCTCGTTTGACTTCTGAGTAATTTAGAAAGCGAATAATGGAATGAATATAACGGGGAAATGTGGAGGTTCAACTTTCAAGTGCTGCTGGTTGTTGTGTCTCTGTTTAAGCGTTGCAGTGTGTTACAGCTTGTTTCTTGCTTTTGCTTCTGCGTCGTATCTCTGTTTCTGCAATTGGATCAAACCAATGTTTGAACCGGACCAAATCGAACATGCAGTCTGGTCCTTAGTCCTGCATATCTTTCACTATTTGATTGCGAGTCTCTTGAATTTGGTCCGGTTCAGACCAGATCAGACCGTTGCACATCCCTACCAATATCCACTTCACCCCTCAAACGGCTCCACCCCCATCTCAATCCCTCATCTCAACCATAATGTCTCGATTGATTCATTCCTCATTTTTCTAGACAATCAGATTGGCGCACACATGAGCTGAATTCATATGCTGGTTAAAGTTCTTGTTGCAGGCGACAAATCAAACCGAACAGTTGTTGCAACAAATCATGTGAAAAATGGGTCCACGCAAATGTTAACTCAGGTGATCGATCTCTCCCACCGCCATGGGGGGGAAAAACAGCAGCACTGCACATGCTATCTATTGCCGACTAATGCAGAAATAGGCAACAGTTCTTGGCTTTCTTTTCCCTCTTGTCCCTTCTCTCGTTGTCAATACTGTGTGGATCCATTTTCCAGGACAAATCTGCATGTGTTGCTTAAGGTCCACAGCCATGGATTTTTCTACGCTTTTTCAAACCTATCCAATCACGAGTGGCCTACTTGCACGAAGATGTGCCGTTCATAGGTTCCTCGATCACATCTCATTCCGCTGGGGAGGAAGAAAAAAAAAACAGCTAACAAAAAGATGAACCAAAGGGCTTGTGGATTAACAGTTTCACATCGAAATTGTGACCTTAAAGTCGTGGCTTAGAGTTATCGATGAGAATTGTTGCTTGGAAAATGTTTATATATGGATTTTATGTCACTTCCTTATGAGATAGAATTAGGAATGAAAATGGATGCGATTGGTAGGGTAATTTCATCGAATTATCATGACTCATATGCATTTTTAATGATTTTCGCTTTGGACTGGATTTGAATTAAGTTCAACTTGGGTATCATTCTGTAAGAAAGTGGTTAAGTACCATACATGGATGGTACTTATAAGTTATAACACTTGGTATGGGGAGACTTGTGCAAATTTCACGCTCATGAGGTGGCACTATCATTTGAGGGGGCGTATAAGGAAGTGGTTAAATAGCCATACATGAGCCTCCCCAACAAGACAACAATTCTGAGTGATTGAGACCAGTTGGTTTATAACACATCCAAATGGGTCTATTTTGGTGGAGATGATTGTAAACACAAAAAGACAATATCAACCATCTCATTAATTGTCTCCAACCCAATCACACCTTAATGTTAGAGTTTCCACCTATCCATGTTTTCTTGGATATCCAATACGATGGGTCTAGTTTAAACCCAAACCTAAATATTGAGTATAGATATGTAAAAAAAAAAAATTACTCAAACCTGATTTGACCCAAACTAAAATGAGTTTAAGCAATACCCAAATATTGGTTTTTTGTTTGTTGCTTACCAAAAACTATGTCGATTGAATCATGTCGATTACCAAAGATAAACCCCAATCTTTTTCTTCTCCTCTTGGTACTTTTGTGTTTCCTTTTGGTCGTTTGGTAAGTTATTAAGACGTAAGTGTTAGTCCTTCTTATATTCAAGTCAAGATGTTCATCCATGCCAATGAAGAATCTTCTGTTTACATTAATCCCACTATCTAGAATTTACCTTGTGCCGGTTGCAATTTTTCTAACCTACCGATAAGACAATGATTATTTTGCCATGATATCTTAACGGTAAAGTTTAATTAAGTGTGTTTAACTACATTTACATCAATCGTCGTCATATAAAATTAGATTAAATCATGAGTTGATAATATAAGCTAATCCAACTAATCAACGTACCCCCAATCATCTCGTTTAATATAATTAATTTAGTTGAGATTCCTTTACAAAGAGGCAAAGTTCCCAAGTACAGTCATCAGAAACCTTATATTTTGTTGAATTAAGTACAGTTATAAGGGCTATATATAGGACCTTAATAATATAACCCTAATCCACAAAGATGGAAAACGACTTGTCCTCCATGCATTATGACGCCAGAGAAAATAGAATAAAATTGGTTTATCTTAAACGAAGGAAAATAAGAAGGTGGAAGATGACATTAGCCTTGAGTATTAATGTTTAAAAGAAAAATTGCTTTCTTTGTCCAATTTTTTTAACAACGAATTTGCTTGAAAGAAATACGGAGACAAATAAATAATTTTTAAGGGCGAATGACCTCTATTTCTAAAAACAGTCTACTTTTTGTGGTGCGATTAAATTATAATCGAAATTTACTTTTGTTTCGATGAAAGTATATCCGTCGAAAACAAGCAGAGTAAAAGGAAATGAAAAGAACTTAAAGGAGGGGGATGAACATGCACAACAATAGAGCTTTTCACTATATACCACTGGCTGCCGGCCGGTCGTACGAAGGCGAGTCGAGGACAGCTAATTCCCTTTGACGGCGACTTCACAACCACCACCAATCTCTTGACTCTTCTCACTCTGCTCGCTTTTGCTCCATCCATTTGACAAATCTCTCTCTCCCCATGACATAAGTATTGCTTAGCTCGAAAAATGGTGGGTTGTGTGGGTGCTTCCAATTAAATGCCACATGCAATTACTTCAAATTGAAATTCTTGGGGTGGTACTTGGATCTCCATATGCCAAAAGGATGATTTGATATGTTTGGCTAAGACCCATTTTGATGCACCTCAAATGAAGAAGTTCTGGTTTACGATAAATTTTTCTATCTCATATACAACTCTCCAACGTATCACCACTATATCGTTGTTATGATTATCACTTCAAAACGATTACCTCCTATAGATCTAGGTAAACTGCATGCAGAGTCCACTATGCCATTTTAATTGCCCGAAAAATGCTTAGATAGGCCAATACAGTCGATCCAACTCAAATTGAATAAGTAGGTTCCTTATCAGTCTTGGTTCAACCGTGTCCGTATAGGTTGTCGACTAGAGATGACAATTTCGATCTGACTCATTTTACATGACCTGTATTGGAAAGGTAATACGAGGCAGGATGGGAATGGGTACTCTCCTCGACCTAATATGCCATGATCCGCCACATTCTATACCTGTTTTTTTGCCTAAATTACAAATAATTTCACTTAATTTTTTTTTTTTTTACTTTAATCAACTTGTATGTTAGCCGCAATAAAATTGTAAGCATGTGAGAATCTCAATTTCTCAAATAATTTAACAACATTGACCATCTTATAGTTTGTTTCTTGATTTCTTTAATGAAAGATTGAACATTTTCTCATGCATTCCCTTTAAATAACAAATTCATATGAGTCGACTTGTCGACTCACATCCAATAACAAATCATTCAACCAGAACCCGACTAGCTACAAAACAAATATTAGTATCGAGATACTCGCGAGACTCTTCATCGTCATTCCTACGGGCTGACAACTATGGATATGTAACCGGATAAGCCAGCTGGGCTATTGGTAAAGAAACATGGGAGAGGGAGGGAGAGCATCAAATCACAACCTAAAAAGGTAATTAACCCAATAACCCAAATAATTAAAAACTTAACCAGTACCAGTAATACAAAGACGTATAAATACACACACTCATGAACCCAACGTAATCACCATCCTAAGCATTCCACCACTCACTACTACTTCTACTCTCCCTTTGGCTCTCACTCCCACGCACCGACCCGAATCCCAATCCCCATTCTCTCTCTCTCTCTCTCTCACTCGCTCCCAATGGAGAGAGCTAAACTCGACTACGGCAGACTCGGCGGCGGCGCCGCCTCATCATCCTTCCGCGAAAACAACCCGCCGCCCACCGCCGCCGCACCCTCTTCCCGCAAGCGCAAGCTCGTCATCCTCTCCCTCCTCTCCCTCACCCTGATCGTCGCCTCCGCGGTCTCCGCCGCCCTCCTCGTCGCCGCCCGCAACCGGGCCGCCGCCGGACCCGACCCGACCCGGCACCGGCGCCCGACCCAGGCCATCTCCCGGGCCTGCGGCAAGACCCGGTACCCGCAGCTCTGCGTCAACTCGCTGGTGGAGTTCCCCGGGTCGCTCACCGCCGACGACCAGGACCTCGTCCACATTTCCTTCAACATGACGCTCCAGCGCCTCAGCCGGGCGCTCTACCTCTCGTCGACGGCGATGATGGCCAGCTACCTCCCCGCCGGCGGCCTCGACCGCGCCGCCTACGACGACTGCCTCGAGCTCCTCGACGACTCCGTCGACGCCCTCTCCCGCTCCCTCTCCGCCGTCGCGCCGCCGGAAGGCGGTGCCGGCGGCATCGGCGGAGTGGGAGGGGTCTCCGCCTCCACCACCGACGTCGCCACGTGGCTGAGCGCCGCGCTGACGAACCAGGACACGTGCGCGGAGGGGCTGGCGGACGTGAAGTCAGGACCCGTGAAGGAG